TATATGATAAATGTAGTTGAATGACAGTGCTTGTATGAGAGCACAACTCCAAGTTTCCAACTCACAAAAGTTGGCAAAAGAATTCTTAACCTCACTTACAGTAGTTCGGGTTGGAATGCAATTAAAATGGGGGTAAATGCACCAACCCCCTGTGATTTGGAAATTCGGCGCATTAGCCCCCTGTGATTTAAAAAATGCGTCAAACCCCCTTGTGTTTTAATTAATCATGCGCCAAATCTCTTATGTGAACAAATTCAATTGTCAAATAAAAGAAAAATGATTAACATTTTTGTATGATTCAGAGATTTTGACATATTTATTTGCATATTCAATCAAAATATTAGGATAAGTGATTTTCAAATCATTAAATTTATTCATAAGGGGGTTCTGTGCATGATTAATTAAAACACAAGGGGGTTTGACGCATTTTTTAAATCATAGGGGGCTAATGCGCCGAATTTCCAAACCACAAGGGGGTTTGGTGCATTAAACCCAATTAAAATGTGTTTGAGCAGCTACAATTTCAACTTTAGAGTTCTTCGACTCAATCAACTATTAAACACCTAAACAATATTACAAGCTTATCATCATCATCATTACCCTCAATGCCGCAAAGGCCTCCACCTACAGTGCGTTAAGAGGGGTCAGATAAATGCAGCCTTACTCCTATACTAAAGCAAATGAGACTGTTTCCGGATGTCATGTGAAAATCGGGTCGAAAATCACACGGTTATGAATCCCTAAAATCTAAACTACACATAGTATAACACTATATGATCATAATAATAATAATAATCAGAAACTAAATGATTTACATTGATAAAGTATAATGCAACTTTGAAAGCTTGCTTTGACTCCAAAGATGCCATAGATCAGATTTGATTAGACAATACTGATGGTTGCAATTAGTGGTTGACTGATAACACGTACCACCAAAGTGGTGCAAATGACTTGGTTTATCTGATACAATAAACTAGGAGGCAGTCCACAACTCTTTGATAATACTAGTTGTATGCTTGTGGATGAGAAAGGTGATGGAGGAACTGAAGAGAAATATATATCCGATAATGAAATAGAAACAAACTTCTTGATGAATAAGTTATACATTCTGGTGATAGAATATAACCATGTTTCATGGTTAGTTTTACTATATAAGTTATACATTCTTAATTTGGTATTTTGTTCTAATTTTGTGAACCCAAATTTCACTATCAAACATTGAATGTAAACCCAAATTTCGTAAAAACTAATGGATTTTGCTCAAACCGGACAAGTTGCATTTTGATTTCATGGTAAAAGTTGAAAAGGTATCTCTTGTCGCCAATTTCCTTGATTGATACAACTACGACCTAGGAGTCAAATCGCAATCATGAAGCCTCTAAAAATTGGAAACTTCACCATCTTTGATCTTTTTGGTCATGATCGTTCTAGCCACAGAAAAACCCAAATGTTTCTCATTCCATATGTAATAAGGATTATTGTTGTTTGTTGTATTCTATTTTTTTTTACTTAAACAATAAAATTATTCAAAAAGCTAAGCCAAGAAACAAAGGTGCCGTATGAAGCTTGCCTCCTTAACCATATCAACATTTTCTTTTAGCGCCATATATAATAATATTCTTGCTACCATAAATTATTGTTTATTATTTCAATTCGTTATATCTAAAAGAAAAACGGTAATGAAAAATATCACAGAAAAAGACAATGAATAACTCGGCCTGATTTTAGGGTGTTAATCTCTGTCTTTTATAAGCTAAGTTTTGATCTTTCAAATTTACCTTCGAGTCAAATTTAATTTTTCTTTAGACCACTATACATATTTGCTGTTATTGTGTTTTTTTTTTCTTAATTTGAAAAACGTGGTACTAAAATGACTTTATAATCAAATATCAGTCAGACCCAATTTTGGGACGTTACAATATAAGTTATACGAGTACATTCTTAATTTGGTATTTTGTTCTAATTTTGTGAACAATGAACCATCACTTTATTCTGATGAATCACAATTTCACTATCAAACTGTGAATTTAAACCAGGGGCAGATCTATGCCTTGAGAAGTGGGGGCAAGTGCCCCAATAAAAGTTCAAAATTTTAGTATATAATTAGGTTATTTATTGTAAAAATAAAGTTTGCCCCCAATCAAATTCGTAGGTTGCCCCCAATGAATTTTTTAGATTGCCCCCAACAAAATTTTTACTACAAGAAAAATCATATGGATTATTCTACCTAGTAATTTATAAGTATGTTACTTATTTAAATATATAATTGAGATTACTTGAACAAATCATAGTAATCTCTAGAAATAATATTCATACGAAATTGAACCAAAATGTTCTTAAATTAAATCATAGACAAAAACGTAATCATTTTATTTTGTAGACTAATGAATATCAATCGGATTAGAAAAAATGTTTTTATATTAATGAAGATGAGCAAACGTAGAAGTACTATTCAATCTACCTTATAATTTCTTTTCTATTTTCCCTTTTTAGTGTCAAAAGTTTCTCTTCATTTTCTACTGTTTCAGGGTCTCTTCTGGAATAATTTGTGTAGTTTGTGTAGTCAGTGTTCATCATTCTTTTTCTACATTAATCAAGTTATAAATTTTCACTATTAATTAGTGTGCTATTTCAATGTTAGAAGGTATTTTGAGAGGGATAGCATTTGACACTTTAGACCTTTTATGCAAACATTAGCGATTATTTAGCACTAAAAGCTTGAATTGATAAGGTTAGTATAAAGTTATTGTACAGTTACTTAGTGAATTGATTTTGAGATTAATCTTGTATTAAACTTTCGATGCCAAATTGCACTAATTAAATTCAATTTATCATGTTTATAATGATGTTTTTATTTGGACTGAAATTTTCTGGTCTGGTCAGTTTCAGCTTCGTCTGATCTAGTCTGAAGTGATTTGGTCTGCTCTAGTAAATGTCTAGTCTTTATATATTTTAAAACCGTCCAAATCTAGCCTGATCTGTTAAAGTCTGCCTGGTCCGATCTAGTTTGTTTAAGTGTAGACTGATCTGAGACTGAAATAAGTCAAAGTAAAAATGTTTTAAGTTTACCCGGTGGGATGTATCCTGATTGTATTGCTCGTGTAATTCTGGCATGATGATTATCAACGAAGTTATCTTTTGCCAAAAAAAATTACCGGGTGAGAACGAAGGCTTAAGCCCTTTTCGGGTGTGTGTATATACAAATACTCATGATGATCTTTAGACCATTTGGAGTGGTGAGGTATTAGGAGTCCAAAATGCTAAATGTAGAATTTTTGGACTCCTAATTGTGTGTAGTGGTAGTTTAAAAGGGGTATTAAAAATGGAAGAGGGGATGGAAGGTATTACATATAGAGGGTTGGGTAAGAGGGAAGTGGGAAAAAGAAAAGGAAAGAAAAAGAAGAGAAAAGAGAATGCAGGTTGCTTTTCTGGTGCAGATGATGTCATCCTTGCATCATAATATCCCAAAAAATTTTAAACTTGTATAACTTTTTTATTTTTTATCCAAATATTTCAAAAAGTATATCAAAATTCATAAATTTTTATGATCTTTCATATGACACCAATATGTAATATATAAAAATGATTTTTTTAAAGTTTTAACTGTTGAAGTTTTCTTGAACCCCGGAAAAACATGAAACACAAATCTTTAATTCATGAAGCCTTCACAAATAATTGAATATTCCATAATCGAACTTTACTTGAATTAAGATCATATTTTGTTAACCGAAAAACATAAAAAAAAATTAATGAAATTTATTTATTTTTATATCGAAATATGTCTTTTTTATTTTATAATTAATCAGAGAAAAAATTAAAGCGAAAACATTACTTATAATAATTTAATTAATGTTATACTAAATTAACATGTAAAAAAATGTGCAGAGTGTATTTTATTGACGGTGCTGGAATGCAGAAAAATAGGAGTCAAAACACTGTTTTCATATGGACGGAGTCCATTTTTGACATTTAGACTCCCTCACAACTCCAAATGGTCTTAGAGGCAAAACAAAAAACATGATCGCTACTATATCTATCCTAAATTAAATTGGTCGTCTTAATAAAAGAAAAAATTGATTGGTCTTTGAATTAACTTATGCCCCCAATAATTTTACTTTCTGGATCCGCCACTGATTTAAACACAAAATTTCGTAAAAACTAACGGATTTTGCTCAAACCGGACAAAAAGTTACATTTTGATTTCATGGTAACAATTGAAAAGGTATCTCTTATAGCCAATTTTCATGATTGATACACCTTTACCTAGGCGTCAAATCGCAGTCATGAAGCCTCAAAAGATTGGAAACTTTACGGTTATGACCGTTCCAGCCACAGATAAACGCAAATGTTTCTCATTCCCTCTCACTGATATATCAAAAGTCAGTCCTTCACTCCTTCTTCCTCCTCCCCAACAACTCTACAAGCATCATACAAGTATGACATATTTCTCCTCCAAACTCTCCAAGGAAACTATCATGAAACAACTACTCCATATATATAGCTGCTCATCGAAATCTCTCGCACTGCACCAGATCAGCGGCATCAATAAGCTCACAGTGCACAAGAAATCCTTACTGCCCGCATTTTTTTAAATTTTAATTATATACATATAATGTAATGATTTTGTAATATACGAGTAATTATTTCGCAAAATTATTAAAACGTAGCCCGTTGCTGAAATAATGAAGCGGATCGCATGATACATAACTCTTCGGGATGCTCCAGTTTGATGAATGCACGAGTGTATCAAGTTTAAAGCAAGACACGGTGTCTGGCTCTTCCGGGCCGTTCGATCGGGAATTGGACGGCTGAAGATGTTGGGCTCCACCCTTTCGCCGATCTCGAGGTCGTCCTCGTCGCCTCCCTACCGTCAGATGCCTCAAGGCACTCTGCCTTATGGCAGAGGATCCTGATCCGTTTGATACAGAGTATTGTTTAAAAAAATGGACGAATTATCTACGTACATAGTCAAAATAGGGGGCGTCTATAAAAAGATTTTTCCTTGAATTAGTTCCATATAACAACTTAAATCCACTATTTTGAACATACATGATGCTTTTCTCTATGAATCTATGAAGAAATCATCAAACTAGTTGGCAGAATATATGCCTAAGAGTAACCTTAATCAAATTTGTGCTCTAACAGATAATCCTTTCAGCATTGATAATCAAACATTCAAACTTGACTTCATATTACCGAGTACAAGAAGTTATTTGGCTGAATTTACAAGCGTAGTTATTTAGGGATTTACAATGACCTGAATCCGGAGTTGGCAGTGGGCCGGGTCTCAACCAGAGATCTGAGAAGCTTCTTTGTCCGCGGCTTGCTGAAGCAAGTTCCTATCACCCTCACTCTCATCAAGCACCATCTGAATCGGAGCCGAGCCGAGGCCGTCGGCTATGGCCAGCATGATCTTCTTCGCCTCGCTCTTGAACTCGGCGCGGTCGATGCTCCCGCTGTGGTCTGCATCGAACTTCTCAAAAATCGAGTCATAGAGCGTGGTTAGCTCCTCCGGCGGCGTGGCGACATCGGCGCCGAAGTGAGTCTCTATGAGACGGAGCGACTCGAACGCCTTCCGCAGCTCAGACCGCGACAGAACGCCGTCGTCGTTGAGGTCCAGCTTCGCGAAGCTCTCCTCTATTGCGTTGTTGAACAGATCTTCGTCATTCACGAAGTTTCGAACGGTGGATCCGTCGATAATCACCACTCCCATGTCTCTCTAGGCCAAAATTTCTGAGATGGAGAAAGAATAAAATTTATACTTTTATTACGGAATCGCAAATAAAACCGACAACAAATTACTTGTAATAATTTAACTTATCAAATGAGGGAATATATAGTCGCTTTGGCCGAGTGGTTAAGGCGTGTGCCTGCTAAGTACATGGGGTTTCCCCGCGAGAGTTCGAATCTCTCAGGCGACGTATTTCTTTTTTCATTTCATACTCCGTACATTTAGGTAAAAACATTTATGTACGAGGTTGCATCATACTATCGAATGATACATTCATCAATTATACATTTTCACCCCCTACATAACTACGTAGTATAAAATTTGATGTTCTCCCTTCACTCTTTTTTGGCATTTTGACCTAGATATTACTAAAAATAGGATAAAAGACAAAAAAATGATACGGAGTATGTTTTTAAAATTTTAAAAAATGTGACCAACATCACAATTAATCCATGTAGTCAAACTGCAAAATGATTCCGGCCAAAGTGACTATCTACCGGTCACACTAATTGCCTCACCGACTACAGTGACTGTCCCACCGGCCAAAGTGACTGCCCACCCACAGTACACTCTGTCTCCGATCACATTGATGCCGCCCCATCAGTGACCACTGCCACCCCCGATCAAAGTGACTGACCGCCCACTATCACAGACTCACAGTGGCGGCGGAGGTCGTCGGATAGTACAAACTTGGTGGTGGGTGAGGATGCGTGGATCTGCCGGTCTGCCGGAGGCTTTGTTAGTGGAGCTTCTTATCTTGCATGGATGGGGGCGGAAATTAATAATAGAGCAAATAAATTAAATGGCTAAACTGCCGAAGGTAACATTTTTTACATAAAATTTGATTCTATACATTAAGGGAAATAAAATCATAGCAGGGTACGTAATACGTATATGAAACAAAATTTAAACCCTTGCAAGCAATAAAGAAAAAGGCAAATATGTGTAGAGCGATAGAGTTCATATTTGGTACGTTGGTTATGTCTTACTGGAATTTCTTATTCTATTTCTTCAATGTCCATTTTCTGTTCATATTTTATTTCTTATATTGTTAGCTATTACTACGTATAATTTATAATCAAGTAATGTGGACGGTGCTGTTAGCTACACCAACAAATGTGCAAAACTCAAGTAATGGGAACAGGTTTGTCAACCCAAATTTGTTTTTATTCTAATAATATCATCACCCTGGTACCTTGCCCCATTTATTGCTCATTTACTATGTAAATACAATTTCTATATGCAAAAATTAGTTAATATTTGATTTTGCCTATTACCACATGGTGGCATGGTGCACAGTAGTGGCGGAATCAGAAAAATGACTCAGGGATCGAAACTCGACCTATATATAAAATGAAAATGGTGGATCCTTTTTAAACAATATATATATGCTAGAGTTGAATATTTCACATGCGGTTTAAATAAATAGACAGTCATAGCAATAAGATAGATTGTTTTTGCTCTGTTTCTGAGTCGTGTCACTTAAGTATTGAGTAAATCATATAGCCTATTTTTAAAATTTGGAAAAATAATCTATAGTATGCATCAAATTTTGTTGATTTTACGTTTAGATGGTGCTGATTTTCCAGAAGTCATAATTTTTTTACTCGTAATTAGTTACGAATGTCATAATGTATCAAATTGAAGATATTTCAGAGTTATATGCTATCAAACTTCCAACGAGATCGGCTGATCACCTTAATCTCCCCTTGACTCCGCCCCTGATGGTGCATGCTAATTCCTATAAAGTAAACAAACTTTATGTAGTACGGAGTAGGGAGTATATTACATGGGAATAGACAAACTATTATTAATTACGGTAACTAACTAATAAGCTCAAAATTAAATCAAAATAAGTGTGTCACGGTAAATAATAGAAAAAATTAATAAGAATAATCTCACCTTGCACTGGTCTTGTCATAATAGTCCAACCTTTACATAATTCTAAAATAATCTCACATTTGCACTCCATCTTCTTTCATTGGACTCTAATCAAATTTTTTATTCTTTCTTTGACAATCATATAAATAATCTCATCTTTCACTTTTTTTATTATATCTTTATAAATGTGAGATTATTTATAAAAGATTTTCAAAACAAGGTAAAAAATCTGATAAGAGTCCAATGAAAGAAGACAGGTGCGAGCATCCGGGGCAGTCCAAATCTGATCTGATTTGGTCTAATTTGTTTAAGTTTGGTCTGATTTGGTCTTTTGGACTAAAATTTACTGGTCTGGTCTGATATGATCCGGTTTAGTCTGTTTAAGTCTGGTCTGGTTTGAATTAGTCTGGTAAATGTCTGCTCTATGTATATTTCATAATTGTCCAAATCTGATCTGATTTGGTCTGATTTGTTTAAGTTTGGTCTGATTTGCTTAAGTTTGGTCTGGTCTGTTTTATAATGTATGGATATCTATATCTATATCTATATCTATATATTATACAATTGAGAGTAACATTGAATGATTTTTTGCCACATGTCATTCTATTAGAATGCATAGCCACATGTCATTTCAAGATAAATTCTAGCTATATCTTATTGATTGCCTTATTAATCACTCCCTTACTCCTTCATATGTTACCACGTTTCTATAAATTAAAATTAATTATTAAATTCCACCAAAAAATAATTGTTCTTAATTAATTTTAATAATTTACCATATATGGTGTGTGCATTGGTTTATGAAGTAAATTAAATGCGTGCATTGGTTTATCAAATGTACACATAAATTATCATTACCGTACGTTTTACCACGTTTAATATGAAGTAAATTAAATGTATACATAATAATATTGTTCCACATCATCCAATATAATGTGTGCATTGGTTTATCAAAATGGGATGTTGAGACACCATTTTGAAAATATATATTAAGGATGTTTTCTTTTGGACTAAAATTTACTGGTCTGGTCTGATATGATCCGGTTTAGTCTGTTTAAGTCTGGTCTGGTTTGAATTAGTCTGGTAAATGTCTGCTCTATATATATTTTATAATTGTCCAAATCTGATCTGATTTGGTCTGATTTGTTTAAGTTTGGTCTGGTTTGCTTAAGTCTGGTCTGGTCTGTTTTATAATGTATGGATATATACTCATCAAAAATAGTTTTGATGAGTATATAATATAATGATGCGATTGATGATAATTGTAATGTTATAGATATATTATTTTTAATATTTAGTGATTAAGTTATAATTTAAAAGTGTTAATTAAAATGTTTAAAAATGACCCGTTAGAATCTTAAACTGGGATGAAGGATTATTTAATTATTATTATTATGCAAAACTGTGTTATATTGTAAACTTTTAAGGGGTTTGTCCTAAAATAATACTAATTAAAAGCATTTGGACAAAAATAGAGAATTTTCTTTTAAGTTCCAAAAATAAGAGTAAATAATCTTTAAGGGACTATTACACCCTTACTAAGCCCAAACCCACTGGCCTGCTACAGTAACCCGCCACAGTGACCAAATGTGCAGTGACCAATGTTACAGTTACCAATGACATAGTTACAAAATTCATCCAGTGACCAAAAATCCAAAATTCACCAGTGACCAAAGTTCGTCAGTGACAAAAAATCATTAGTGACCAAAAATCCAAAATTCACCGGTGACCAAAAATCGTCAGTTACCAAAAATTCCGCTTGATAAAAAAGTGACTTCCGCCCGTGCAATGACTTACATTTGTATGTCTAGTGACCAACTTTCGGCCAGTTACAGCTACTCGACCTAATCAGTTACAGTTACTCAACTCAAATACTTTTATTTATCCAATTTTACTAGTTGCAGTTACTCAATTGACCAATGTATTACAATGACCTATGTCATAGTGACTATATTTCGAGTGACTGGTGACACGGTGACTATATACTCTAGTTACCAATGACGCAGTTACCAACACTTAGTGACCCAGTTCTAGTGACATCCCGACTACCATGACATCCGGCTCCAAACCACCCCGATCTCAGTGACCAAATTGACAGTTACCAACGCTTAATGACATTTGCCTCACTAATCATCTGAGTTCTAGTCACTACCCGGCTTTAGTGACCACCCGATCACAGTGATATCACTACCCTGCCAGTGACAAATTGATTTCTGCCATCTCGGAGCATTGCCGCCCCGGCCCCGCCAGTCTGCCTGTGCCTCGCCCCCTGCCCCACCAGTCAACCCTTTCCCAATCAGCCCACCCCAACCCCGCCCACGTCACACTACACTAGCAGACATTGAGCCACCACCACCGAAACCCCGCCAGCTAACTGCCAACTGCCACTGCGGTACCCAACCAGCGCCTCCGCCCACCCCGACTTGACTCCCCAGCTCTCAGCCACGTCCATAGCCCCGACACAGCCCCCAACCCTCTCTGGCACCACCCTCCTCCACAGCCATACCCCGCCAACTCCGTCGCCTACCCCACCAGCCCACCCCTAGGCTCTAGTGACAGATCTGCCACCACTTGCACCGGCCAGATCCGCGGCCACTTGAACCGGTCAGATCTGTGAAGCCTAGCCGCGCGCCATGAATAGATCCAACATCGTCATTGACTCGCTACAACCGCCACCGTCTGCCACGTAGCCACCAAACCCTAGCGCGATTTGATTTCCATCTCAATGGCCCCTCGCCACAAAATCAACAATTGATTCGAGAAGAAGAGAAAAATGAAGAAGGTGAAACTGGATGACGGTGACGATGCGCCTAGAAAAAGGCGGTGATGGAGGTGCTCTGGCGGTGGAGGATCTATGGAGATGGCAGAGATTCGTCGGATATGGCGGAGCTTCGAAGGAGATGGAGATGGCAAAGCTTCGACGGAGATGGCAGAGCTTCAACCGTCGTGACTAATGATGTGATGGATGCGGCAGACATGGGTGCTCCAAGCGCAGGTGAGGGAGACGAGCGGATTTGCGAGAGGGCAAATGATTTGCAGCACTTGAGAGAATTACTTGGGTGTTTTTGTCCATTCATTTATTATTAGTCTTGTTTTTGTCCAGATTTTAAATGGGCCTTAT